AACCCAAGCCTGTATATCATGGTACCTAAAAATATAAGCATCTTTCACCAGAGAAAATAGAACAATCCTCTCAGATAAATCTTTTATGCATTCAGTTTATTTTTTTTAAAAGCAATCTATGCTGAATTTAAGTCATTTTTATGTGTCTTTGTTTCCCACTAGATTATAAACCTTTAAATGTCAGGAAGTAGGTCTTAATCAAGTCTCTGTTGTACCCAGAAAACCTATCAGGAGATCCTAACTCACAATAAATATGTAAGTTGTTAGTTGGATAATTCAAAACTACCTCTGTGTTGGGTGCCTGGGTGGCTCAGTTGGTTAAGCGACTGCCTTCAGCTCAGGTCATGATCCTGGAGTCCCTGGATCGAGTCCCACATCAGGCTCCCTGCTCAGCAAGGAGTCTGCTTCTTCCTCTGACCCTCCTCCCTCTCATGCTGTCTCTCATTGTCTCTCTTGCAAATAAATAAAATCTTAAAAAAAAAAATTAAAACAAAACAAAACAAAAAACTACCTCTGTGTTTTTACCAGTACATCCTTCTTGCCATTGCCATGCTAGACCTAGAAACCAGTCCCTCCCATTTTATTTGGGCAGGGGCTTAGGGTCCCAACCAAACTTTCATGCCAAAGGAGATGCCTTAATTCATGCCATCTAAAGACTCTTCATTATGAGGACTGGTTCTTAAGAGAATGGTTCTGATCATCAATTTTACCTTGGTTTCCTCGTAGGAAGATTTTAGTCAACTGAATAATCCCAGAACCACCAACTCATTTCAAATCAGTCTAATGCAAGGGTCAAGAACCTTGATTTTCTCTCAGAGGACCCTTCCCTGCTACTCTCTGGTCATGGGCAAGTTGTTGTCTTATCTCTTAGACTCCTAGATTTTTCATCCAAAAAAGGGGGGGGGTCATCATTCTTACCCTGAGGATTGTAGTGAAAATAAATCTCAAACCAAAATGATGATCCCTACTGCCCTTCCTCAACCTGGTCTTCCTCTTGCTCCCCTTGCTTGGTGAGTGACCTCACTAGCTGCATGTTTGTGCAAACCAGAAAGACACCTCCCTCTCCTTCAAGTTCCCCTGTCAACCAGCCACCAGGTTCTGTGAATGGTATGTCTTGTCTTGAAATCATCCCCTGCACCACCAGCACCCCCCCCCATAGCTAAATGGGCTCACCAAATCCACTTTTTTACCCACCTCTTCAACACACACTCCTAACTTTTCACCATATAACCAGAGACATCATTCAAAAATTTAAGTGTGAGGGGCGCCTGAGTGGCTCAGTGGGTTAAGCATTTGCCTTTGGCTCAGGTCATGATCCCAGAGTCCTGGGATGGAGCCCCCATCCCCCGCCCCCAAAAGGCTCCCCGCTCAGGGGGGAGTCTGCTTCTCCCTCTGCCCCTCCTCCTGCTCATACTCTCTCCCTCTCTCACTCTCTTTCAAAGAAATAAATAAAATCTTCTAAAAAATTTTAAGTGTGAGACTACATGCTTATTCTGAGAGCTCCTAGCTAAGGTAAAGGATCTTTGATACAATCTAAGAGACCAGGTGCGCTCTGGTTTTTGCCTCCAGCCTTGCGGTCTGTGTTTTCTTTGAGCTCCTCCAATTAGCCATACACCTCCCCACCTTTTGCACATTTCTGTTGTGGAGAATGTTTATCCCCATAACCCCTTTCCCCTTTTCTCCTACCATTTTCCAATTCTAGTTGATTTCAAGTCAATTGCTCGGGGAAGTTTTGCTAATTTACCTTTGCTCACGTACACGTGTACCCAAGACTAGGTCAATTCCTCTGATATAGGTTCTCATATTACTCTTTTCCTTTCCTCTATAGCTTTAAGAATGGTTTAACATTTTACATTTCTGTGATTATTCCACAAATATCTGGCCAAACTACTCCAATATAAGACCCCTGAGGAACTATGTCAGTATTGCTGTACCTCCAGTGCTTAATACAGTACCTAGCACATAGTACAGTCTCCATAAATACTTGTTGAATGAGTCTGTACTTTGTATATGGTAGCCATTACTCTGAATGTTACCAGACTCCTGAGTTTCTTACGAAGAGCTCCATCTTCAGATCCAGAGCAAGTTCAAACCATGGCCCTGTTCATCTCGAGCAGCTATCCTTTTCGTGTGTCTCGTCTGTATATGGGAATACGTGTACCTGCCTTACCGAGTTGTCAGGAGGATTTAGTGAGCTAATGTAGTGTCAAATGTCTCACACCGTGCTTGGCAGGGAGCTCCAGCCGTATGGACTAGTAATGACTGTCATTAATATAGGCCAGATGGTCATGTAAATAACCCGAGTGCAGGCCTACAGTTGTCCCTTTGCCGATCCTAACCACTCCAATTCGCAGGGTGGGGCTTCCCGGGGGTCTGCGGCCTCACCCGGCAACCTGCCCCCTCCACGCCCCTCCGGGGGATCTCTGCGGGAGGTGGCGCCTGCGGCCCACACCCGACCGGCGCTCCGAGGCAGCCGGGCGGCGGCGCAACCCCAAGCTGGGCTCCCGCAGGGGCGCCGGGGGCGCGGGCGGC